ACACTGTAGCAAGTATCGAGCCTTCATTTATCTTTCTGGCTGAGTGGTATTCCATTGTATGATCACATTTTGTTTCTCTATTCATCTTTTGATGGGCATTTAGGTTGTTTCTACCTCTTGGCTATTGTGTATAATGCTGCAATGAACATTGTTGTCCAAATCTCTGTTGGACTCTCTGCTTTCAAATGTTTGGGGTATATATGTAGAAGTGAAATTGCTGAGTCATTTTTAGTTTTTTGAGAAACTACAACACTATTTTCCACAAAAGTTATACCATATTTTATTCCCACCAGCAACGGGCAAGAATTATAATTTCCCCATATCCTTAAGAATATTTGTTATTTTCTGTTTTGTTTATTTTAGCCAAGGTTGGGCAATCTACTTCCATAGTGATATCACCTCAGAAACCCAAAGAGGGGTCGCTATGAGTTGGGTCCAACTCGATGGCACATAACAACAACAACAGTAGCAGTGAAATGGTATCTCATTGTGGTTTTGATTTGCGTTTCTCTGATGACTAATGAGACTGAGCATCTTTTCATGTTTTTGGTGGCAATTTGAATGTCTTCTTCAGTGAATTATCCATTCAAGTCCTTTGTCTATTTTATGATTGGGTTAATGGGCTTTGCGCTGTTAAGTTGTCAAAACTTTATATATATTTCGGTTATTTGATTCTTGTCAGAGGTATGGTTTCTGAAGATATTCTCCTAGTTGGCAACTTGCCTTTTCACATTTTTGGTAAAGCCTTTTGAATAACAAAATTTTTATTTTTATTTGTTTTGTCTTTTACTGTTTGTGCTCTTGCTATTATATTAGATTATTCATTTTGAAAACTAGGCCTGACTGCATTGCCCCAGCCTATTCTAAGAATTTTATAGTTTTAGTTTGCACATTTGGGTCCTTAATCCACTTTGAATTTGTTTTTGTGCATGGTATGAAGCACAGATCCTGTTTTATTTTTCTGCAAACGCAAATCCAGTGTTCTCAGCACCACTTATTAAAATAATAATTAACTATAATGTTGGCTGTTGGCTTTTCATATATGCCGTGAACAATATTGAGGAATTTCCCTTCTATTTCAGTTTTCTTTCCCCATTAAAGGACTTAGCACCCTTGTCAAAATAATTTAATCAAAGATGTGTAGGTTCAATTCTGGACTCTCAATTCTATTCCATTTGTCTGTGTACCTATTGTTGTACCACTGCCAGGCTGTTTTGATTACTGTAGCTGCTTGCTCCACTGCCATCAAGTTGATTTCAACTCAGTGACACTTTTAGGACAGAATAGAACTTCCCCAAAGGGTTTCCAAAGCTGTACATTTTTATGGAAGCAGACTGCCTCATCTTTATCTCATGGAACAGGTGGTGGGTTTGAACCACTGATCTTTTGGTTAGCAGCCCAATGCTTTAACCACTATGCCATCAGAGATCCTTATAACTGTATGTTGTTGTTGTTGTTGTTGTTGTTGTTGTTGTTGTTATGTGCTGTTGAGTTGGACCCGACTCATAGCGACCACTCCTTGGGTTTCCGAGACAGTATCATTACGGAAGTAGATTGCCCGATCTTCCTTCCGAGGAGTGGCTGGTGGGTTTGAACCACCAGCTTTCTGGTTAGCAGTCAAGTGCCTTAGGCACTACGCTACCAGAGCTCCCTATAACTGTATAGTATGTTTTAAAATCAGGAAGTATGCATCCTCCTACTTTTTTTTTTCCTTCTCTTTAAACATAATTTTAGCTATTCAGTGCCTCTTTTTATTTCATATAAAGTTGAGGATTTGTTTTTCCATTTCTATAAAGAAGGCTGTTGGAATTTTGACTGAGATTGTGTTAAATCTATAGATCGCTTTGAACAGTACTGAGATCTGAAATTTATTAATTTTCCAATCCATGAACATGGAATATCTTTCCATTTAAATTAAGTTTTATTGTATCTCTTTCAATAGTGTTTTAAAGTTTTCACTGTATAAGTCCTTCACAACACTGGTTAGATTTATTCTTAGGTATTTTAGTCTCTTAGATGCTACTGAAAATGGAATTCCCTTTCAGATTTCTCATTGCTTGTGCATAGAAACCCAAGTAATTTTTGTTTGTTGACCTTGTACCCTGATACTTTGCTAAGTTTCTCAATTAGCTCTGGAAGTTTTCCTGTGGACTCTTTGGGATGGTCTATGTAGAGAATAGGAGCTCTGATAGTGTAATGCCTAAGGCGCTTGACTGCTAACCAGAAGGATGGCGGTTCAAACCCACCAGCCACTCCTCGGAAGGAAGGTTGGGCAATCTATTTCTGTAGTGATACTGCTTTGGAAACCCAAGGAAGAGTTGCTATGAGTCAGGTCTGACTCAACGACACATAACAACAACAACAACAACAACAATATATAGAATTATATAATCCACAAAAAGAGATAATTTTACTTCTTTTCCAACCTGGGTACTTTTCTTTTTCCTTGTCTTAATGTTCTTGCTAGGACTTCTAATGCAATATTGAGTAGAAGACGTGAAACCAGACACTCTTATCTTCTTCCCAATTTCAAGGAGAAAGTTTTGAATCTTTCTCCATTAAGTATAATGTTGGCTGTTGGCTTTTCATATATGCTGTGAACAATATGGAAGAATTTCCCTTCTTTTTCAGTCTTTAGAGTTTTCATTAAAAAAAAAAAAAAAAAAGTGTTGGATTTTATCAAATGCTTTTTCTGCATCCTTAAAGATGATCATGTGGTTCTTTTCTTTGTTCTACTGATGTGGTGTAGTATGTTGATTGACTTTCCAATGTTGAATAATCTTTGCATTCCTGGAATAAATTCCACTTGGTCACAATGTATGGCTCCATTAATATTCTGTTGATTCTTTTTGCTAATTTTTTGTTGAGGATTTTTGCATCTATGAGATATCGGCCTATAGAGGCACTTAAACAATATTGGTGACAATTCTTATCTAAATGTTTTGCAGAATTTCACAGTGAAGCCATCTAGTCCAGCACTTTTTTTTTTCTTGGAAGATTTTTGATCAATGGTTAATCTCTTTAGTTGTTATAGGTCTGTTGAAACTTTCTATTTTCTGTTGAGTACATTTGAGTAGGTTGCATGCTTCTAAGACTTTGCTCACTTTATCTACATTTTCCAGTTTGTTGTCATACAGATCATAATATTCTGTTATAATTCTCTTTATTACTATCAAAAATAAAGGTCAGTTTTAGTTTCCTCTCTTTCATTTTTTATTTCAGTTATTTACATTTTTTCTTTTCCTTTTCAGTCTAACTCAAGGTTTGCCAACTATATTAATCTTTTCAAAGAAAACCAGTACTTTTTGAATACTTAACCATTGCCTCTCCCATACATAAATATATACAAAATTCTCAAAATTCTGTTTTGATTACGCAAGTTTTGAAATATAATGAAAAATTTTCATAAATCTCCAATATCAGATTTTTTTCTTGCTCAGTTAATATATTTTTAAAATCACTTTTAAGTGCACAAATAATAATAAGTCATTGCCTTTAAGTATGCAAATCATAATAATCAAAGATTCTTTGAAGAGTGGAAAGAGTTTTCTAGTTAATCTAAGATTCTAAATCAGTTGTAGTCCCAGTTACAACTACCAAGTAGGATTATGAGAAATGCTCTACGATACAAATCATGGAATGGCATTTAACAACAATATAATTAGAATAAATTATTTTTCATATTCATTGTCATGTGTGGACTAGATTTCTTTGTAGAGTAGAAAGTGTGACACAATTTTTGACTGCTTACTATAAATATCAAATAGATAGCCATTTATTTTTATTAGGAAATTTGTAATAGTACAGGAATAACTTCAATAGCAAAGATAATCACTCACTCTAATTATTAGAGCTTTCCCCATTACCTCAAGTATACCCATTGCATTTGCCAAAAGTTTAATTAAAATGAGATGACTAGAATAGTTAGTATCTTAGTAAACATAAGACAAACTAAAAAAACTGCCATGCTTTTTTTCCACACGTATTGGCTATGCTCAAAGAGGCTATATCAGTTCTAAATAATGAGTTACCTAAAACAGTTTCTGTTGTTGTTGTTGTTGTTATTTGCCGTCGAGTCGGCCCCGACTCATAGCGACCCCTCCTTGGGTTTCCGAGGCAGTATCACTACGGAAGTAGGATTGCCCAACCTTCCTTCCGAGGAGTGGCTGGTGGGTTTGAACCGCCAGCCTTCTGGTTAGCAGTCAAGTGCCTTAGGCACTATGCTACCAGAGTTTCTAGGATACAAAAAGTCTTCTTGATGTTTGTCTCAAAAAGGAACAGAATTTGACATCATTGATAGAGGTATCAGTACGGAACAATGACACTATGTTGTATGAATCTCAAAGATATTTCCAATAAATGAATAAAGCCATTTTTAACCAACATTATTATTTATATTTTGTAATAAACTATTATTATAGAAAGTTTAACTGGTTGCTTAATTCTTTAAATTGTGGAAAGATGTGTATTTCATTCAGAATTACACATGATCCATTTCAGTTAAATAAGTATTATTCAGAGCTTGCTGAAATACTTATAAACAGTATTGTAAAAATATAGAGTTCCAGTAACCTCTTTTAAGATAAATGTATTAAATCAAAAGCATTGTGAAATATAATATGCACATGAACTTTCCACCTCTCTACTTCTTCAAGAAAGAAGTAATGGCTGTCAAAACAGCAGTCATAGAAAAGACAATGTCACTCTCACAGCAGCATTCCTTGGGAATCCTTATTTGTTCTCCTTACCTTTCCTGAAGCACATAAAACAATAAGATGCAGTACACAAGAACTATCAAAAGGGAGCACTTTTGAGCCGCCAAAATTGTGTGTTAGCCTAAAAGCCACAATCTCCCAACTACAGACAATGATACTATCTCAGGTATTTTATGTGCTAAAATGATCATTAAAAATTAAGCACCACATATAAGCTGCCATTTAGAATATTAATTTACCTTTACTAATCATCTTTTTAACTTGAGGCTAAAAGAGTTCACTTACCATTCGGATATTCAGGCTCAGTCCAGGAGATGTTAAAAGAGTCAGGTGAATATGAGCACGCTCTGGGGGTCGCAACTCCTTCTGGAACACTCTCGTCAGTGAGGGCCTCACTGGCCTCACTCACAGTGCACCCACCACCCGTGCAAGCCTAAAGAGAGATGCAAAAAAAAAAAAAAAATTCACTCTGGGACCCAAAAGTTTAGAGGAGCATTGAAGAAAGGGAATTTGTAACGAGAATTCAGATAATGCTTCTCTTAATCCCACTTCCAAATAAATTTTATTTCAGTGCTGAGGTTTGACATTTAATTCATTTACTTTTTAGGACAGGAGTCAGCCAAATCCAGATTTTAGGAAATATCTAAATGTATAAATGTATGAATTATAAATATATGAAGCCTAGAGATGCACGACATGTTTTGACTGGATGAATAGCCCTGCTGAAATCAGCATTGCCCAAAGGTTCCCATACTCAATTAAACACACACACCCACACACAGTCACTCCATGAGAAGAATACTGGAGACATTATGAAGACTATTTCAGGATAAAACAAGTGATTTCTTAAAAAAAATAAAAAGATGTATAGCAAATATAACTGCTTTTTTATTCTATAGTGTGACTGATCTATTAAGAGTATAGTACAATATGAAATTGAATAAAACAATAATTCACATAAATCAATCAATACAAAGCAATTGTTGAGTGACTATTTAATGGTTAAATGAGCCAAATCATTTACTTAGTTGCCAGAAGAGATCGCTTCAATACATGACTGCAAAAATTAGATGATCACAGAAAGCCCTTTTCCTAATAAAGGAAGCACTAATGCCAATAATGTTACTTGAATGTTAAAAATATTCAGAAGCCTGTATAAGTGCACTTTCATCATAAACTGAAAATACTCCAAAGTATATGAAGTGTATCAGTAAAATATGTTGCTACCTATAAGCATTTCTCCATGAAATTGAGACATACATAGGGCTTTCCAGCCTAGATTCGCTGACAAATATTGGCAATGATATCCTCATATACAGCAATATTTGAAAAACCAAACATAAGTTTTGTACAGTATCTCTGTAGGTTACAGTTTTGATTTACACAATGAAATTTAAAAACCTTTCGAAGAGCACTAAATTTTCTCAAAAGCAGTAGGAAAATTAAACTAAGTCATAGAACAATGTAAAAAAAAAAGCAGGCAGTTATTTGGGTCATTTTCATGGAAGATAATTACGTAAAAATTAAAAATTATAAGAAGATATTTCTCAGGACTCATCCCCTACTTTTAAGTTTGATATTTTGAAAATGAACCTTTGATACTTAAAGCAATAGATTTTCTTTTTCTAAAAATAGATAGTTCTAAAAATAGAGTGATTTTTTAATAGATTTTTTTATATTGAAGTACAATACTTTCTGCAAAGTTGTTGCAAATAATTGCAAATTCTTCATTGTAAGTATAAATAACAATAAAAGGGATCTATAAACATGGTGATCAATCTCACTTCCTATTTGAAGAATGCAGCAGGATCATGTGTCTTCAGAATAATGTCTCATCAGCTTCAGTAAGTTTCAGGTGGGTTAAATTGTCACCTACACATTCAATTGCCTTAAGATCAGGGATCTAATTAACCTCTGTGGGTTTCCTCTAATTCTTGGCTGTGGCATGTGCATATATATGTAAGAGATAAACCAAACTCCTCCTGAGAATGGAATCTTTGCAAATAAAGAAGAATCAATGGAACATGTGGCCCCGACTCAAACCTCGGACATGCCCTTTGGTAGACTGAGAAATAACTACCTGATGATTAAAATAGAAAAATTTACTAAAAAGGAAAAAAAAAAAATCAAATGTACTAAAAGTGCATCAGAAAACCTGGAAGAAAAAGAGGTCATATGGGACGACTAAATTATCAAAGGAAAAATGGTCAAAAGAGCATTCTTTCTAGTCAATCACAAATAGATGAAATCTGTCCACTTGTATTTTCTAGATTTTGTTTTTTCTTGGAAAAAAAAATTGCTGCAGCGCTTTATTGTTAAACTCGTAACTTACTGAGATTTGATTCTGATGGTCTGTTTGCCACCATTCTTTTTCTCATTCACATCCTAAGTAATTTCCCTTACTATGTCGCCCCATGGGAGCTCTGGTAGCATAGTGTCTAAGGCACTTGACTGCTAACCAGAAGGCTGGCGGTTCAAACCCACCAGCCACTCCTGGGAAGGAAGGTTGGGCAATCCTACTTCCATAGTGATACTGCCTCGGAAACCCAAGGAGGGGTCACTATGAGTCGGGGGCCGACTCGACGGCAAATAACAACAACAACATGTCTCCCCATAGCATAGTGCCTAAGGCACTTGACTGCTAACCACCAGCCACTCCTCAGAGGGATGTTTGAGCAATCTACTTCCGTAGTGATACCACCTCGGAAAGCCAAGGAGGGGTCGCTATGAGTCGGGTCCGACTCGATGGCACATAACAACAACAACAACAATCTCTCCCCAAAGAAATATATAATTAGATATTTTTGCAAATAGAGTGTGAATTAAAATTTACTTTGTTTTGAGGATTTCAGGAAGCCCTTTGAGATAAATGAAGACACTCTGGTTTGGAAAGACTATTTTTTGAACTATGTCATCAGAGATAGGTATACTAGTAACTTGATCAAGAAAACCAAAGAAACCAAAGTCACTGCTGTGGAGTTGGATCTGCCTCATAGCGACCCCTCCTTGGGTTTCTGAGGTGGTATCACTACGGATGTAGCTGCCTAACCTTCCTTTTGAGGAGTGGCTGGTGAGTTTGAACCGCCAGCCTTCTGATTGGCACCCTAAAAATCCAAGGAGGTTGTGAGACAATTTTTCCTGAAAGTTGTGGTAGTTCAGTGTGTGTGTCAACTTGGCTGGGCCTGGTTGAGTGGCTGGGCAGCGGGATGTAGTATTCCTCATGATGAGACTGGTAATCAACTCCATGGTGGAATCTATTGTGAGCACCTGAGTAGCTGCCTTAGGCATGTCTTCTTCTTCATGTATATAAGGAGAAGCCTTGGGGCACAGTCTCTAGTTTACAGCACCCTTGAACCTTGAGTGTAGCTGTTGCTGTTGTTTAGCAATCTGCCATGCTCGGCTGACCTTGTGACTTTCAGTGGACTTGAACTAATGACCTGCCATGTGGTTTGGAAACATTGGGACTGTGCCATTTTATTTGTCAACCTTGAGCTTGTTAGTCTCAGCATTCAGTAGCTACCTGAGTGAAGAGATGCCTCTAGCTTCAGTGGGCCGGAAGCAAGAGGCAGAGCTGAAGCCCAAGGTCGAGGGGCTTTCACCCAGCCCCTAGAGCTTAGCTTGGCACTTTGAACTTGGACTTCTAGCCTCCTGAACTATAAGAGAATAAACTTCTGTTTGTTAAAATCATCCCATTTGTGGTATATTCTTGTCATAGTGGCACTAGGTAACCAGAACAAAAGTGAAACAATTTATAAAGGAGCTGATGAAATAACAGAATTTCCTGCAAAATATTTTATTTTGACTTGTCCATGTTACTTTTGTGTCCCTTTCGAGTAGTTAAATGAGCAGCATAATATTTTGGTTTCTTCAGTGAGAAAATAAATGTTCTTAAAGTTGTTTCCAACTTTGGTCTAATCTCACTAATGTCATCTAAGTGAAATCGAACCAATCAGTATCTAGTTTGACCTACCAGCACCAGAAACCACTGCATTCAAGGCAGTTGAATGCTGATTAAAATTTTAGTTTGGAAAAACTAAACAAAATAGTGGGATTGATTAAAGATGGCTTTACGAAATAGAAAGTCTTTGAAAGGCTCTGAGATAATAAAATCAGATATTTCAACCTAAGTCCGATAGTTTTCACCAATTAAAGCCATTAAAAAAAAATTCACAGGCAAAGTCATAACACTGCCTTGAAATAAATGGTAAGTAACTTTGGACCAAATAAGAGGTTTGATTTTGATACAATGAAAAGCATAATTAATAAAACTATATCTACTGTTTTTGAAACCATTACTATTAAGAAGCTCTCAAACTAGCATTCTCTTTCCCAGTAGTTTGTTTTCAGGTAAGTAGGGACTAAGTTGTTGAGTGAAGGAGCTCTGGTGGTGCAGTGCATGAGGTATTTGGTTGCTAACCAGAAAGTTGGTGGTTCAAACCCACCAGCTGCTCCACAGGGAAGATGAGGCAATCTACTTCTGTAAAGATTTACAGCCTTGGAAACCCAGTGGGGGTTGCTATGACTCAGAATAGACTCTATGGCAGTGGGTTGGATTTGGTTTTGGTAGGCTGTTGAGCGTGCCACATATTTTAAAGCATGTAAGCCATAACAATGCCATGATATCCATAAATAATCTTTTGAGAAACTAAACTCATCATTTCTGAGAATCTTTCCAGAAAATATATGTGACACTTAAAGTTCATCAAGTGGAAAGTGTCCAGCAGTCATATAAAAATTATAAAACCATATCTATATTGATGTCTGGCTGTATTAATAGCTCTTTATTTCATTGCTAATTCATTATTTTTATTATCGTTGTTGTTAGCTGTAGTTGAGTCAGCTCCAACTCATGCTGACCTAATGTATTATAACAGAAGAGAAATTGACCCTGTCCTGGGCCATGCACATCATTGCTATGTTTAAGCCCATTGTTGGAGATATTTTATCTCTATTAATATTTACCAAACTTCAACATATCCTTTGTTGAGTGTAATAACATGTTACACAGTTTCTTGCAGCAGAAACATTTACTTTGGAATCACATTGTCTTGGTTCTCCAGTGCTGCTATAACCGAAGAACCACAAGCCGATGGCTTTAACAGACTGGAATTTATTCTCTTACAGTTTAGGAGACTACAAGTCTGAATTTGGAGTGCCAGCTCTAGGAGCTGGGTGAAGACCCTCGAATTTGAGCTTCAGCTCTGCCCCCTCTTCTGGGCCCACTGGAGCTGGAAGCTCCTTCTGACTCATGTAGCTGCTAGCTGCTGAAGCTGATGAACTCAGTATCTACAGGTAAAAGGGCACAATCCCAAGATCGGCAGGCAACATGGCGTACTACTTGTTCATGTCCAAGAACAATCCCAAGATTGGCAGGTAACACAGCAGGCCAAGACTTGGCCAAATGCAAGGTCTAGACATACCAAAACTAGAAATCTTTCTCAAAACTTCTTCTTATATACTGGAAGCAGGTCACACCCTGAAGGCAGCTACTTAGCCTCTCACAGTAGATTCTACCAAGGAGATGATTACAATCCCATCAAGGGGAATAACTACATCTAGCTGCCTAGCCACTCAAAACCACGGTCCAGCTAAATTGACACACAAACTTAACTACCACTTATACACAGTTCCCAACTCCAACATTTTCCAGCCAATTATTTAATCAGAAGTCTCAGACTCTTTGAGAAATATATGAACTTGGTGCTCATTCATTCACTCAACAATTGTTGCTGAGCTCCAAGTTTCTACCAGGGATTATGGTAACTTTTAGGGATAAATTTTTGAACAATGCAGTCATTACCATTCAGGAGTTTATAATTCAGACAATTTGGGAAAATTAAATGAAACCACATGAATAATAAATCTACCATAAGCCTGGAGTAAATCAGAGTAGTTCAAACCCCCATGTGTATCTTCCTCTATTCCAAAGGCAGCTTCAAGTCTTTGTTATCTGTAGATTTTGTGTTCCAGCACTTAGTCAACATGTTGTAATGATCTATAAAAGCAACCCGGCTTGGCTGAGAACCTGCTCTCCATCAAGTAATCTAATGACCTTGAAAGCTAGTTATAATATTGAAACTGTGAAATATACAATAATTCTGCAATTAACCAGGATGAACCTAAAATGTTCTGGCTCATTTAATTTACCAGTTAACAGAATTAAGTTAAAAAAAAAAAATTAGTTAAAAACTTCCTGATAACTATAGCATATGTTCTGCTCTCCTACATACAATAAAATTGGAAATAATTATGTGCAAGCTTCTTTCTCCACCAAGAGTTAAGGTAAAGACTTCTACCTCTTCATGGCATCCTGCATCAACATTATGCGGTGGCTGACAGCTCTTGTTTGACTCCACAGAATATTGTCCAGGGGTCACCTTTTTAGCATCACAGAATTTTAGGGCTCAAAGAGACATTAAAAATCATTTAGTTAAATGTGCTAATTTTAGGCTTGAAGAAAATAAAACTCAGTGTGGTTAAGTGAATTTGCCTCAGGTCACACAGTGAAAGGGAAATCTGAAATAAAGCCCAGGGGAGCAGACTCCTGGTCTAGTGGTATTTATTTTTCTAGGTATTACAGATTTATAAAATATCGGAGATTGAGGTAAATTTTGTTTGACTCCCCAGCATATCCTAAAAATTGCCTTGGGAGCAGAACTTAGTTTCTTGTCATTTACTTCCTTCTGCTAAAAACCATGAATACCACAATTTCTGTTTAAGTTTGGTTGTTTCCCAGTGATTGAGACTTTTCTTGATTTTGATTTTACTACTGTTTTGAAAATAGGGAGACTTTCTGCATTAGCTTTTGAAAATCAAGTTAATACATTTTCACTTCTTGCATGAAAAAAAAAAATTATGAATAATCCAAGATGCTGTTTCAGAAACTTTTATGCTGTGCTGAACATCTAGGCACATAGAATCAGTTTTGAGTAGGATTTTTAACATGGTCTGATTGCCCTTGTTTTGTGATTTCAAGTCAGACAGTTAGCAGTAGTTGAAATACTTTATTTTCTCGTGGTATAATATTTAGAGCATTCAAGAGCATGTTAAGTAAAATGAATGCATGAACAGTGTCTACATAAATGTAAATTTATTCATAATCAAGAGCAGAATATTTTCTATGGCATTTATCAAAGCAAATATCCTTATATAGGTATTGCTATAAAATGAAGAGTGTATTTAAAACAAATAGGGACAATCTCATGTTTATATTCAGTTATTTTCAGATGTGCTATTAAACTTAAAAAAGCATTATATTTCATCAAAAAACAAAAGGAACTACTGAGTATAAATTCCACAGTAATATCAAGGTCTTTAAAAAGACCTTTGTGTAAAAGTGTTATTTTGCAGTAAAAATGCTATTGTCTGTCTACAAAAACCCCTAGACTATGTTCTTTCTGGGTTTTATTAAGTGATTGTTCTTTTGAGATAGAAGTATAATATAAGCCAGAATACAATAACAATCAAGAATATTTGGGGGTCATTTAAAGCATTTATAGGAGCTCTGGTGGTGCTGTGATTAAAGCATTGAGTTGCTAACCAAAAAGGTGGGTGGTTTGAACCAAGCCACTACTGCATGGGAGAAAGATGAGGCAGTCTGCTTCCATAAAGATTTACAACCTTGGAAACCTTGGGAACCCTACCCTGTCCTATAGGGTTGCTGAGTTGGAATCGACAGGATGGGTTTGGTTTTGAGTTTTAAATTTTCACTTAAAAATATAAGATAAAAATTTTCATTCAGTGCTTTATTTTTCAAATGAACACAAGGTCCACAGGGAAATAGCTATATTAATCCAAACATTTTAGAAAAAGCCATCAACAATCATGATATTCCATAAATAATAAAAAGTAATAATTCCTGATAATCCCAAATTAAATTTGGGAATATCTGCTGACTCAGATTGTTATTCTATCATTTTTCATAATATATAATGAATACATAGGTAATAGACCAACTTAATTTATAGTTAGGATGTGAAATGAGTTTTCAGTATAAATATCACTATTTGAGGTCTTTCCTTTTTTTACATGAGGGAGAGAGAGAAGATATAATAAAAGGAAGGGTAGCAGGGAAGGCAGATGGGGACAGAGAAGTAAAGTGAACTTACTTCCAACTTGATGAGATATTTATTACCAGGGAAAAGGTATCGTAGTGTGTGATCTTGAAAAAGTTCTGTACTGTTATAGATGACATCCCAAATGTTAAAATCATGCGTGTGATTTGAAATATATAATACGTAGCGCTCCAAAATTCCATTTACTTTCCTTGGTTGTTGCCACCTAGGAATGGAAAAATATAACTTTTGTATCATAATTCATTCAACTCAAACTGAAATGTGCAGGGTTTTTTAAGGACACATAGGAACTTATATTTGTGCCACTGTAAAAGCACTCTAAAAAAATTTCAACAGCACTTCATAAAGAAAAAAAAAACATTTATTAAATGTACTTATACTAAGTATTTACACTATTCTGAATAGTATAAAGAAAATAGGTCATAATCCTTGCCTCTATTTATAAGTTTAATTATCTAATAATACAAAAAGGAGCCCTGGTGGCATAACTGTTAAGCATTCGACTGCCACCTAGCAAGAGAAAGATGCAGGGATCTACTTCTGTAAAGATTCCAGCCAAGAAAGCTCTATGGGGCAGTTCTACTCTGTCACGTGGGATGGCTATGAGACAGAATCAACTCCAAACAACAACTGAGATAATAATTAAAAAATGTCTATGGGTGAATACTTGAAGTTAAAGTGTGAAATAAAATTTGGGAGAACCAGAATTTCTAAGAACCTATGGCAGTAGTGCCTAAGGTATTTGACTGCTAACCAAAAGCTTGGTGGTCCAAACCCACCAGCTGCTCCACAGAAGGAAGATGGGGCAATCTACTTCCATAAAGATTTAGCACCTCAGAAACCCAATGGGCACCTACTGGTAAGAGTCAGAATTGACTCCATGGCAGTGAGTTTTTGTTTTTTTTAAATGTGGAAGGGGAAAGAGTTAAAACTATGTAATTGTCTTGGAATACCCATTAATCAAACATTGAATTGATATGTGTAACTTTAGACTACAATAAAGTTTAGTCTTAGAGGAACTGAGGTAGTCAGACAAGACTTCCTGAATGAGGTGACACATTAAGTAGATACGTAGGTTTATACTTAATATATGGATTGGATTTGAATAGGCAGAAAGAAGAATGGGGAGCTTTCCAGATAATGAAAATGAATTAGAATATGCAGGTGGGAGTAAACAGGACAGCCATGGAAGAGACAAGCAATTGGTACATTAAAAAAATACATAAAATATAGTAAGAAATCTTTTTGGATAAGTAATGTGGGCTTGGTTTATGAGCACACTAAAAGTCAATGGGAGAATTTAGACTTGGGAGAATAGGATCATAAATCATGGTGTTTTTCAACTTGAAATAATGACATAATTTATTCAGTCCAAAGTCCTTTTGTAGATGAGAGAATGGACACTGAGAGAAATGAATGAATAAGTATTAATTGTATTAAATTAAAAGTATTAATTGGTGATAAGGCCAAAGCTTAAAGAGAGGTCTCATAAATTTCAGTTCAATGTTACAATATTTCTTCTCTTTCATGTATTAGGAAATGGGCAAGAATCAGTAGTTTCAGAAATAATCTGAACATGCCTACATTTGAGTGTTCTTTTTTTGAGTTCAACTGCAAGGGGATAAGATGATCCTGGTTTATACTTCAAAAGAAATCTCTCTCTCTCTCTCTCTCTCTCTCTCTCTCTCTGTCTCTCTCTCTATATATATGTACACACACACACATATGTGTGTGTATGCATATATTTATGTAAAACCAAACCAAATTCACTGCCGTCAAGTTAATTCTACTCATATAGCAACCCCTCCTTGGGTTTCTGAGGCAGTATCTCTAATTCCAAATTATCATACAAAATGCACCACATATTAGAAGCTCAAAGCAGTCATTTAAGTGGTCAGTTTTTCTGTTATTGAAGTTTGCACAGAATCTGTGCGCATATGTAGCTCAGCCTGATTACATAAAGACAAAATGGAAATTAAGTTGGCAAGTGATAATCAAAGGTTCCCAGAACCACTGAACTAATCATTTCTATGCATTTAATCACAATAAAGTTAATTTTATGTCACAAGCCCTTCTCCTGATTGAACTCACTCGATTCTTGTATGCAGCAGTATGTAAAAGACACAACATTTGTACTTACTGTACATATATAGTTCTAGAATCCAAGACGGTCAAAATCGGTGATTCTACATGTTCTGGTGGTAGCTGTGCTGTGTACAGTTTGACCCAGGAACTGTTTGTGCATCCCACATGTGTACATGCACTCAGCAGAAACTGGTGAGGCGTAAATACTGCTAAATCTAAGCGGTATGGGGAAATGAGAATTTATTTACAATCATACTTTTTATTCAGGTAATCTAACTTGTTCTCTACATTCCTACTTCTTGGAATTCCTAAAGTAAAATTTTAAATACAAATAAACCAATGGCAATCAAAATCAACAGTAATAAAGTAAAGATTGTTTTATCTCTTAAATATACTGCAATCATGTCTAGATAGGCAAGTGTCAGTCAAACTCTTCTTCATTTTAACAATTTGACTATTTTCTTTATGTCTGTGATCAGGTAAATTGTTTTCTGAGCTTAGTACTAACTAGTTCAATGGATCTGTTAAAAAAATAAGTGAGACATTTAAATTATTTTAAAAGTATATTTGAAGACAATAAGAGTTGCTTTTGAAATGCAAATACATAGCACTTAGCAATGACTTTGCACATGCAATTCCTCTGTCAGAAGTCCTTTTTTCCCCTTGTCCTCCTGACCTTCAAGTTGTCCAGGTTCAGTGCAAATGCTAGTTTCTTTCTAAAGATATCCCTAACACTTCCTGCTAGTGATCCCTGGCATAAGCTGGAGCTGTTATCCTTTCCTCTGTTTACCACTGTACTTTGCACACACCTTTAGTTTAGCATTTCTAACAGTGTGCTGTAATTATTTATATACTATACTATCTCATCTGCTAGACCGACCACTTTGAAGGAAGGAATTGTGCTATATTTTCTTTGCAATCTTATCAACTAGTACCATGGGTGGCATGTTATAGGTTTTAATATATATATTTGAAAAAAATTGATAGTTAATGAATGAGGTAAGTTAGATGCTGTTGTGAGCTCTGGTAGCCTAGTGCGTAAGGCATTAGACTGCTAAACAGAAGACTGATGGTTTAAACCCACCAGCCACTCCTTAGAAGGAGGTTGGGCAATCTACTTCTGTAGTGATACTGCCTCAGAAAGCCAAGGAGGGGTCGCTATGAGTCAGATCCGACTCGATGGCAGTGTGTATGGTATGGTATATGGTAGATGTAGTTGAGCTAGGTATGAAAGATGACCAAGAGAGTAGAACAGTACCCTAGACAGAAATAATCTCTCCCTCTGCTGAACTCTCCTTTGTACTTTATATTTATCTACCTTTCTAATGGATACCATGTTCCCTGGCATTAGAATAAACTAATCTGTAATTTACTAACTCAGTTCTGAAATTCTCTGAACATTGCATTTATGAAGATATACACTTAGTAATTATTTTGTTTATTGAATCTAACCAAAGTTCAGTAAACTTTATAAAGATATAAACATTGTTCATACTTTTACAGTACCAGAAATAATTGTTATTTTCTATAATGTATTTGAAATAAATCAATCACGATTTAAGTAAGACATACTCTTAAATCTCATTAATAATGACTCATTACAATTTCATGTTTAACAGATTAATGAAATGCAACCTAATTTAGGCAGATATATTTTGAACTGCACTGACAGCACAGGTAAACTAGGAAAAGAACACTTTAATTTTCATGCAAAGAAACATCAGTTGGTAGGTAACCAAAAGAAAGGCAAAAGATAAATTTTACAAAATTAGTTACTCTAGAACCAAAAATGGTTATTAAAGAAAGATCCAACCCTCTTGATTAAACTTCACATTTTCACAGATTTTATGCCACAGATATCCAATAATGCCAAGTTCAGGTGTGGCAACCCCAAGCAGTGTGGTCAGAAGATATATAGCAAGGACATTTCATTGTTATCCCTAGAATATTTAAAGCATTGTGAAGTTTATAGGTTAGTAAGATGTTGTCATCGAGAAAACAGAATGGCTTTAAGTGGAACGGCTACCAGGTTTTTATATATTAAATAGTGTTCCCCAAAAATATGTGTTAGAATCCTCCTAACCCTTATGCTTGTGGATGTAATCCTGTGTGGAAATAGGGACTTCTTTGTTATGTTAATTAGATCTTACCTGAGTAGGGTAGGTTCTAAATATAATCACTTCTGAGTTATAAAAACAGCAGATTAGACACAGAGACACCCACATATAGGGGAAGGCAGACACCGTGTGAAAATCATCTACAAGCTAAAGAATCAAGGAATACGCAAGAGTACCTAACAAGGAAAGTATACAAGTGGCAAAAGCCCTGCTTTGGACTTTTAGTCTCCAGAACTATGAGAGAATAAATCTCTGTTCTTTAAATCCATCCAGTTATGTTATTTGTGTTATAGCAGCACTGGGAAACTAAGACATAGAGTTTTAAGATGCTCATTCACTAATTCACTTACTCACTCACTGCCATCAAATTGATTCTGATTCATAGTGACCCCCTTGGGTTTCCAAGGCTGTAAATCTTTACAGAAGCAGACTGCCTCATCTTTCTCCCACAGAGTGGCTTAGGGGGTTCGAATCACCAACCTTTTGGTTAGCAGCCAAATGTCTTAACCACTGCACCACCAGAGCTCCTTTAAAGATGCAAGTGTTATATAATATGAAAAGTCCTGTGGAAAATGTAGGCATGCTGAGTAATTTTTGAAATCAAGGAAGGCCTTAATAATAAAGTGACATTTTGTGCAAAGACTTGAAGCAGTGAGGGTAAAATGTGAGAGGCTCTGGGTGGGAGATGGAGAGGATCATTTCAGGAAAGGTAACAGGAAAAGCACAGGCTTGAAGAGAAAAACACTCCTGGCATGTTTGAGAAATAGCAAGGAGGTCAATGTGGTCTGAGCAGAATAAATGAGGTAGAAAAATGTAAGATAGAACTTTAAAGAAAGACTAGATCATGTGGTCCTGAAGGTCATTGTAAGAATTTTCATTTTGATCCGTAGAATTCTATTTAAGAAGTTACTAGAGAATATTTAACAAAGTTGTGGCATGATATGACATAGATTTAGGAATATTACTCCGGCTGGTGGGGTACAGATTGTTGTGGCAAAAGTAAGTATGAAGACCACTTAAGAGGCTATAGTAATCATCAAGTAATTGGAGGCAATAAGAAGTAGGTGAATTCTGGGCAGCTGTTAAAGGAAAAGCTTCCAGTACTTTCCAGTGTATTGTAGGTATCCCAAATTGACTCCTAGGTTTTTGACCTAATGAAAGGAAAGAAGAAGTAACCACTAATTTGGTTGAAGAAGACCACAGGCAAACAGGTTTTAGAGGGGAAGATAGAGAAGTCAAGTGTTGGACCAGTAAGTTTGAGATGTTAATTAGACATCCCATTGTAGATGCCAGTTAGACCATTTGAATAAAAGCTTGAAATTCTGTAAGAAGATCTAGCTTGAGATACAATTTTGGATGCCATCATCATATAAATGGTATAATTTTAAAGTAGACTAGCAAATGAAATGTGTGTAAATAGAAAAGAGAAGAGATAATAAACAATAAAACTCTGCAGTCACATTAAGATGGCAGGGAGCAAATAATAACCAGGGAGACAGAGAAAGAATGACCAGTAACGTATTCAGAAAACAAAGTGAATGTGGTGTCCAGGATGTGAAGAAAGTGTTTTAAGGGTCAAATAAAATGAAGACTGAAAATTGACCATTGGGTCTAGCAATATAGCAGTCATTGACAATTGTGCCAAAGAAGTTACAGTGAAATTGTGAGCCTCAAATTCTGATCGGAGTAAAAATATGAAGGAACGGAGAAAGAGGAATTAGAGATACTGAACAAAAATAACTTTCCAAGAATTTTGTTATAGAGCAAGGCAGAGACATGAAGTAAGAGCTAGAAGGGAAGTGGAGTCAAAAGAAGAATTTTAAAAAATAATTTAAATGAGAGAAAAAAATGTGTTACATGCTGGTTGGTGGTTCAAACCCACCAGGCACTCCTCAGAAGGAAGACTGGGCAATCTACTTCCATAGAGAAACAGCCTCGGAAGCCCAAGGAAGGGTTGCTATGACTTGGAATCGGCAGTGAGTTTGTTTTTTTTGTTTTTTTATACTGATAAGGATGATCCAATAGAGAGAGCAGAATTGATAAATGGATAAAAGAGAGGAGAAATTTGGAGGAACTTTGTTCTTGAATATGTGAGGAAATGGAATCTAATACAAAAGTAGAGAGGCTGGACATAGTAGGAGCCAGGGGAGATAATCTGTAGTAACAGGAGGAAACGCAGACTAAATGGTTAAGCCCTAGACTACTAAGCAAAACATTGGCAGTTTGGACCCACACAAAGGTGCTTCAGAAAACAGATTTAGCAATCTGCTTCCATAAGATCTTGAAAATGCTACGGAGATATTCTACTCTGCATGCATGAGGTCTCCATGAATGAGAATTTACTTGACAGCAGCAACCAACAGCAACAACAGGAGGGAAAGCAGGCTAAATAGATGTGAATGTTGGTAGGTGAGTAGATGTGATGATAGGAATTTGTAAGGGTTCTCCTGTATCTGCTTCATTTTTTTTTTTTTCAGTGAAGATGGTCAGAAGACCATCAACTGAGAGTGATCTTTTGATTCCCCAGAATGCCAACTGAAGTGGATTGTCACCATCATTCTCTTAGAATGACTGCCTGTCAGTCTGTCATACTATGGTGGCTTATATTTTGCTACAATGCTGGAAGATATGCCACTGACAGCTCAAACACCAGCAGGGTCACCCAGACTAAGAGAGAGTAGGAAGAAAGGCCTGGCAATCTACTCCTGAAAATTAGCCAATAAAAACCCTATGGGTCACAACAGAATATAGTCCTATAGTGGTGGAATATAAACCTCTAAGTAAGAAGACACTGCACAACAGCTGCAACAGTGGACTCAAACGTAACAATGACCATAAAGATGGCACAGAACTGGGCAACAGTTTGTTCTGTTATACAGAAGGTCTCTATAAGTCAGGGCTGATGTGATGGCAATGAATAACCATGAATCCTACTTGACCTAATACCTGTTTACATATCCTCCTTCCTTTCATTCATTAGACATATTTCTGTTCCTCTAACACTACAATATCATATACCTTTGTATGCTACTCCTTCTAACTGAAATGTATTTTCTCTTTCCTCATACTTGGCTGGCTTTTTTTCATCCTTCAGGCTG